ATCATAGATGGATCTTTACATTCATTTATTCGATTATTGAACTGTTTATTCTTCCTCTCTGATGAATGTTACAAAACAATAGAGATGGTGTCCAGAACTAAAATAGATGCTGAATAACTATTTATTAGATAAGTGAATGGAAACTGACACACAAGTTGCCCATAGAGCTTGCAGACTGGTTATGGAGGGGTTGTCAAGTCCTGGTCTCAGCTGTTCAGGCCCCTGAAGCCTGCAGAAGAGAAAGGCCTCTGCTGCCATGTGTTGGAGGGGTCTTTGCAAAGTGCTCCTGAGTGCTTACTCTGGTTCCTTTGAAAGCCTACATCCCTTCAGCTGCTGCCTCTCATCTGACCTCGTCTTTTTTATATTTCTGCCAAACAACAAATGGCCCTTCCAAAGGTTTTTGGGGTTATTGGGAGATATGTTTGGTTTATTTCATCTTACTCCTCTAAATTCAGCCACCTACTTCCTGAGGATCAGGGACTTTTATTTATTTATTTAAAAAAATATTATTAACTTTCTGAGGTCTAGGTGGTAGTTATACAGATATGTTCAGTGAGTGACATACAATTATGAATTATGTATTTTGCTGTGCTTTGTATTTTAGTGTAAAGTTTAAAAAGTTAGAAAAGGCTCTAGTAGCAATTCATACTAGAATTCTCAAGAATGAGAAACAGAAATCAAAATCTGTATCAATAATGGCAAAAGAGCATTTATAATTATAATAAATTATAAATATAATTTGTTGTTGTTGTTGTTGTTGTTATGTGCCGTTGAGTCGAACCCGACTCATAGCGACCCCTCCTTGGGTTTCTGAAGCAGTATCACTACGGAAGTAGATTGCCCCATCTTCCTTCTGAGGAGTGGCTGGTGGGTTTGAACTGCCAGCCCTCTGGTTAGCAGTCAGGTGTCTTAGCCACTATGCTACCAGAGCTGTAGAATTATATAAATCAAGGACTCACCACACTATGGAAATGTTACAAAACAAAACAACAAAAATGGCAAGATATTATATGCACTAACCAAAATTTGTGTTCAATATTAACTTATTAAATGAAAAAAAGCTAGCCATAGACCAACATATACTGTGATGCTATTGTAATAAAAACGGAACAATCTTTAAGTTAAGTAATAGGTTGAAATTTATTAATATATGAGTGTTTGCTCCCTGTGGTAGTTCAGTTTTTGTGTCAACTTGGCTGGGCCTGGTTGAATGGCTGGGCAGCTAGATGTAGTATTCCCCATGAGGAGACTGGCAATCAACTCCACAGTGGGATCTACTGTGAGCAGCTGAGTAGCTGCCTT